TTTTTTTTTTTTTTTTTTTAAATAGTAACGCGCTTTATTAATTATATGTGATCAACAATGATCGTATAACTAAATACAAAAGCACCTAGAGTGAAGAAAGAAATCTTTCAACCCCCTATAACTAAGTATATCGTATCTAAATTTTTAATTTAAGATCTAACTAAAATTGTGTTTAATCTAAAATTATTATTGTTTTTCTAAACTACGCTACTATTCATATTTTACTGTGTTTTTGTGATTTTTGATATTTTCTATGTTTAAAGACTTTTACAAATTTTAAATAAAAAAACAAAATTATGAAAAATAAAAAGAAATCAAAAATTTTTTTAACGTCAAGAAAAATTTTTTTTTTTTCCTCATTTTCTGATCTATTCAAATCAAATAATATAATAGGGATGATTTTCTAAAAGAAGCGGCGGCTCATAAATCCGTTAGCTACATTTTTTTTTTCTTATTTTCTGATAAATCTTATCTATTCAAATCATGTGGAGTCATGAATCCGTTAAATGAACATTTTTTTTTTCTCATTTTCTGATCTATTCAAATCAAATAATATAATAGGAATGTTTTTTCTTAAAGAAGCGGCGGGTCATAAATCCGTTAGCTACATTTTTTTTTCTTATTTTCTGATGAATCTGATCTATTCAAATCAAATAATATAGGCGGAATGTTTATGCGGAGTCATAAATCCGTTAAATGAACATTTTTTTTTCTCATTTTCTGATCTATTCAAATCAAATAATATAATAGGAATGCTTTTTCTTAAAGAAGCGGCGGGTCATAAATCCGTTAGCTACATTTTTTTTTCTTATTTTCTGATGAATCTAATCTATTCAAATCAAATAATATAAGCGGAATGTTTATGCGGAGTCATAAATCCGTCAAGTGAACATTTTTTTTTTCTCATTTTCTTATCTATTCAAATCAAATAATATAATAGGAATGCTTTTTCTTAAAGAAGCAGCGGAGTCATAAATCCGTTAAATGAACGGGCTGCATCTTTTATACATCTTTTTTCCTTATTTTCTGATGAATCTAATCTATTAAAATCAAATAATATAATAGGAATGTATATTCGGAGTCGTAAATCCGTTAAATGAATGAGCTGCATATTGTATACATTTTTTTTTCAAATCAAATAAAATAATAGGAATGTTAAATACTAATACGGGTGCATACTGTTTTTGTTTTTTGAACAATGACATACATAATAGTAAGGTTTGTGTAGATTTTTAGATTATCTAACTTAATTTAAATTAAAGAAATGCGAGAGAACTCTTTATTTCTAAATATAGAATGATTGATTCATTTAGTTACTTTATATGAATTCATTTAGCATTTTTAAAAAAGAAAGTTATCGCATGTTACATGATAATATTTATTAAAAAAAAATTGTAATACCGTAAAGATTAAACTTACTGGGATTCATTTGATTCATTTATTTATGCAACATTGCGCAAAATCCGACAATGCCGGACAAAGAGAATTCAAATTCCGGATACGGATAACTCTTAAAACATTTCAGTAAATAAAATATAAAAATATAAAAGCGCTCTTCTTTCATCATGCCAGTTATATCATTTTTTTTAAAAAAAAAAACTGATTAATTATGAATAAATTAATCCTTTTGACCTTATTCCTAACGCTAATTACTGTTTCAGCCGCTATGCCAGCTAATGATAAATTAGCTGACTTATTTTACAAACGAAATAATTGTAAATGCGAAACCGCATTCTCAAGTTTTGATTCAAGTTCTTCTTCTGGCCCATTCAGGGGTTTCGTGAGTTTTGGTCAAGATGAATCTGGTAGTACTACAATTTTTGGCGCTTTCAATCGAGGTTTTAACCCAGATTGCTTCTACGAATTTTTAATCGAAAATGAAAACGGTAAAGTCTTATATAATGTTACAAGAGGATTGAATGTTCAAATAAAAAGCGATGGTAGTACAGAAGCTTTCACTCATAAGTTTAAGAATATCAATCTTAACTGTCACAGTAATGGTATTCTTCTTGGTGGTAGCAATATGCGTGATAGTGTTAGCTATTGCAGTAATAAAAAGTTTGTTGTTAAAACTGATAATCAACATGCTGCTAAAAAGATTTGTACTTAATGTGGGCTATTATAGCAATAATAAGTTTGCATTACATATCAATTTCTTTCTTTACAAGATGTAAATCAATATTTTTATTAAGTCATTTATATAAATAGGTTGTAGTGTTTTTTTTTAGCATTTCTTAATTAAAATTTCTTCTAAAAAAGACGTACATCATTCAATCGTCTCAAATTGTTTAATATTCTTATCAATGTACTGACACAATTACAATATGAATTAATAAAGTTAGTTCAATTATATAGTATTAATCCATTTATATATTAAATTTTATTGACGCAATATTAATAAATAAATAAAGTTTTTTATTTAATAGTACAATTAATAATGATCTACTAGACTAACTGCTAATATTACTAATATTTAATTTTTTCAAACCGGCTGATCAGCGATAGTCAAAAAAATATTTAAACCTTTTTTAGATTTTCTTGGGATCTTTTTTGACTTTGATTCCTCTTGGATAAAAGTAAATAAATATATATTTTTATTTTTTAAAAAAAAATTTTTCACGAATGGAATTTTATTTGTTTCAGCTTCGGTCTGTAAGTATATAGATAAGCTCCTTTGGCTTCATTTCTGCTTAGTCTACAAAGTTAATTTGAAAAAAGCCCTCACCTTCCAAACAT